GTGTTTGTACCCTGATAAGGAAGGATGAAGAGGACACTGAAGGACAGTTGAGCGTGATAACGAGTTAGTCCAGGGTGGGTGGCGCCTTTCCAGATTGGACGCATTTGACTCCGTTGATTGATCGGTCGCTAGCAGGTCAGGGCGGACGTGACACGAGGTTACTCAACGCCTCGAGCTAAGCGCCGGCCGACCCGGATGCAGAAGTTCCATCAGTTTTCCAGAGCGCCGCTGATTGAAGAGGTGCATCTTATCTTATCTTATAGTCATTGAGAAACTTGTCGACCCGTTTCCGGTCGGCAACGTAGTGTCGGGGCCGTATACTTCTTGAGATGGTCAATACACCCGCAAAAGCCGACGAACAGAACTGGTGAAGAAAATATAGAAAAGCCAACTCTTCCGTCCTGCGCTGAGGCGGACACCATGGCTTTAATTAACGTCACTTCTTCCTCTTCAGTTTTATATTTTATGAGTACATAAATTGAACATATTCATTGACATAAAGCCCTGCTGTAACAGAGGAGAGTGCCATGTTGGCACTCTCAACGCCGCTGAAAAAGAACAGTTTCAGTCTGTATTCGACAAAATTTAAAAAAAACGAAATTCTACCTTACGACCATTCATGTCATCATCCCCGGATGGCACATGGCTGGCACCTTCCCGGCACCTTCCCCTCCCTTCAACTCAGCAATCTCACGCGCGACAAAAGCGCGCCATTCGCTGCCTTCGCGAAACGTCTCCGTGCGGACTTCTGCGTGCCTCTCTTTTGATTTCCTTGAGCATGTCTTGGACCATATTACGCATGTCTCGGAGGGTGTCCTCGCGCATCTCTGCCATCATGGTACGCACGTCCTCCGTCAAGGTTGCGGGAACTTCCTGAGTTGGGGTTGTGGACCTGGAGGATTCTGTCTCTGAGGGAGGGTCTAGGTAGGTGTACACGAGTAAGTGGGTAACCGAAGAATGGGTGGCGAGATCGCACTTTTGTCGAGGGGAGTAGAGCCTGAGTCATCTTTCGCAACAGATACAGTCATCCACCGGCCAATGAGACACCACCGGCTAATGATACACCTCGGAACACCATGAAGGATTCAACTGTTTGCTTTGAAAAAATAACCCCATTCTCTATAAGTCTTTAATACATTGTGTATAAAATTTTGTGGGTTCTGGTGAAGTCAATGCCCGGTAATAAAATCACCAAAATATTCATTTTGGTTGATTTTGTCACACCAGTCACTGGTACAGCATCTCTGGCTGTTTCTGCTCACGTTTGGTTGATTTTATGGCATACAACTGGTATAAATTTATTTTAATGGCTCTATTACACTGATTCCAAGTGGTTTTATGAGAATCCATGGGCTGGTTGAGTTCTGGGATCAAATTTAAATTTCAGTGTATCAAATGATGGTGGATGACTGTACATACTTGTCTGATAATATATAATTTATGGTAGAGCGTTTGTCTGCAGAGTCTGCATCCCAAGAAAGTACTTCAAAATCCGACTCAGGCTCGACGCATTTGAAAAAATGTCCACGCACCGTTATTTTTCTCATTAGTTTGGATCCTGCGGTAGGAAGAAGAAGAAGAAGAACGGCGGCAGCCTTGAGGTTGGCTCACGTTCTTGGCTGGAGCGTACTCGACAACATGAGGAATGCATAGGTAGTCGGGTTGGAAGACGGGCGTTTCTAAGTTTGTGTTCGTCATGGTCGGTCGGTTCGTACAGTGGTGAATGTGTCGGCGGTGGAAGGGAAAGAAATGGAAGGCCTTCCACCTGAAGTATTTAACTAATGTTCCGAGACATCGAGATTCACATCATAGACACCTATTCCGACTTTTCTTGCCGTCAGTCTCGGTACCGAAGGCTCGCTAGTACTCCTCCCGACTTTCAAATTACAAGGCATATTTCTCGACGTAGTCGGTGTTTAAACAGGCCAGAGGGGGGGTAGTTCATATGGCTGTTCCTCCGGGATGATATTCTGTTATACTTAAATGCATTATGCGGCACTGGCAGTCCCGTTCAAGCTCCCTGATTCACGATTCGAACTTCGGAAAGTAGACTCATGAAAGATCCCATATACCATATCGAGACGCAGACAACATAACGGAGAAAATAAAGGTCTAAAGTACGGCGTTTATGGCGAAAACGGGGGGAAGATCGGGGGAAAATAAGGGGGAGCATTCCATGATAAGATAAGATGAATCTGGACCAGTCTGACTCCCACGGTTTGTTTCTGCTTTCTGCCTCTATACCATGAGCCTCAGGAAATCCGTCACTGCCGCATATTCGTAGAGTCTTGCAGCATCTTATGCTCGCGAACTCATGGCACCTGCCCTGCTGTATGTAAAACCTCGAACGGCCCTTTCGCTCCTGCTGCCTTTGCAGTTCTTCGCCGTTCACCCGTCAGCTTCGGCTCAACTTCTGGGAGCTCGCCATGCTTAACTCGACTATCTTGACTCTCGAGGGGCTGTCTCTGCTCCAGGGTCAAGTGTAAGAACCGACGCGCCATGCAACCTGTCCAGCGGGGGCGGCGAGTAGAGAAGAGGGAGCACGCGAAGGAAGGGAGGCGGAGGTTGGAAGTTTTTTCCAGTGCCCGACTCTGGTGGAATCCAGGTATGTGCTGCTTCAACATTTCCTTTTGTCTCATTTCGTCGAGCTTCACCGGTGTCCCTGCCACCTCCTCTGTGCGGTCCTAATTCTCCTTCTGAAGCCCTCCTTCCCTCCCTCGTCATCGAGAGACTGTTTCTCATACCCAAATTCCGGAAACAATTCTAACGATCACAATGCAGGCTCGCTCTGAACGGATAATGGGCTATCGGACCGCATTTACGAGGATTCTACGTGGGTCCTGATTCGAATGCCGATCTTGGGACATATTATTGCCATTTGGCTCTTTTGTGCGGCAAAGGACCGTCCATATATGCGGCCTTCATCGCCTCCTTTCCTGTTCCTTGGTGCGCACGAGGGCAATTCCTCTTTCATCGGCCGTTCAGGCGCATATATTCTGTTTGCACACTGAGAGCTGACTCTTATCAATCCTTTCCTTTTCATGTCTCAGACCTGGACCGTCATTGTGCGCCGCGTCGACGCTCTCTTTTCAACTCTTTCCTTCTTTCTCCCGGGTTAATCGTTGTTCTATCCCGCCTTTGAAATCGGGACGATTTCCGAGAACGAACGACGTCGGTGTCAAGTGTAGGCTCTTACCACCTCTCTTCGACGCTCAGCCTAATCCAGCGCCCTATGTGTTTATTGCGATTTCCTCAATTACTTTGTATCCAATGGTGGCGGCTCATTTAGTTCGCCTTCCTTGATCTCGCATGCTTCGAGCGAGCTTAGCTGTTCCATCGCGCCGACTATTCTACCACAAGCTATGCCTCAAGGCATTCCTGCTGCTCAATCTATTTTCGCATCGGCACACTTCTCGCCCTCAGATTCGTTCTCGGTGACGGGAGATTGGTGCCCATAGTGGCCACAAACTTACTGTGATTGCGAAAACAACCCCTTCGGCCCATTGAACAATCGCATACTGGTGGATGTGTACGCGGTTTCTGCGTTTCTGACTATCTTTCTGCACAGACCTCGCGCCAGGTTCTTTCGTTTCATTCGAATCAAGTGCCGATCGAATGTGATTCACATGCGTTGTCATTTCCTCTTATGTTTTTTTTTTCGCCTGTTTACAATCGCAGAGCTAATTCCCTGCCATTCTTTCATTCTCAAAAAATTCAACTATTAATCTCGGACTTGCGCATGCGTTACTGGCTCGCTATCTCGTGATTGCGATTACGCATCCCCACCTTTATTCTTTATTATCGCTACCATCGCATGATCCTTCACGTTCTCTCTGCCGCTTCTCGAGTCCCGCACTCGTCCTTGCTCTGCCTTCACTTTTGCCTAGGGTGGCTAGTACTTCGAAGCCATCCTTGTAGTAGCGGAACGAATATCACCATCGAGGTCGAGGCGATCGTCGAATATTCTGCGCAGAGAGGACTTCAACGTACCTGCCTAATATAATTTCTAGGCTAGGACGCACCGGTCGTAGGCCTATTCACTATACTATATCTGACCACATATCCGGCAGGTCAGGTAACTCGGCGGTCACATATTTTGGCGGGGAATCCGTGACTTTGCGTGACTTCGTTCAAATCCCCTCATTCCTCTCTCGTTCATTCAATTTCTCTTCCTTCTCCACCAAAATTTGTAGGTGAATCAAGAGGGCCTATATGCCCCATAGTCTGCAATTTTGAAGAAAAATAAATTCGGTCAAGAGGAGAGGTTTCATTATTCCAACCCAGACCGCCGACATATGGGACCTGCCGGATATGTGGTCAGATATAGTACGGCAATTCGGTGAGCTTCCTCGCCTCTTCACTGAAGAATTAATTGCTCATTTCTGTTGTGGGCCGTCATTCAACCCTAGTCCTAATGTCGTGAGAATGATTCTGGCGGGTAAAACTCTCAAGTGGGATTGCGAAAAAAGGTATACTACCACCTTAAGGCCTAAAGCTTCAATAATGAAACGGAAAGAAACGAGTCTGGAACCTATCTACAAAGACGGACAGGCTATTTCGCAGATCAGCTAATGTAATTCGGTAAGTCTACTGTGCTCGGGTTGATTATCAGATTGTCATCATTATGTATCACGAATCTTTTTGGTTTTCCTTGATCTTCTTCCAATAATCTATGACTAACCACATGTTTGTCAAGGACTTGCTAGAGCACGGTCAAGCTTGAAAAACGGCACATTCAAATTGCTGCGCACTGAGGGTTACGCGAACGAAAACATCGGGATCCTGGCACCTGCGTCTCGGTTTTCTAGTCGCTATGGTCACCGATATCTTTCCATCCCATTCAGAGGGTCGAGATGAGGGAAGAAAGTGCTGGGCGCCTCGGTCACCAGATGCTCTATTTTTAGAAGGACCGCCTATCCCGGTATTCTCGCACAGCAGTATAAGCTGCTCGAGGCGCCTAGACATCTCCACCCAACCGCCACTACATCCCCCTCGATACTATGCCCTCGCACAGCGACTCCTCGCCTCTCCTGCCCCACGCCTTCCTCAACGCAACTCGCATACACTACCTCGACAACCTTCGCACCTTTCTCACCGTCCTCCTCATCGTTCACCATTCCGCCACTGTGAAAGTCTCTCTCCCATCCTACCCCATCGAGCGCATCATCCTCAAAGTCTTCACCACTACGAACAAAGCCTTTCTCTGGAGCACGTTTTACCTCGTATCGGGCTTCTCGAGCTCGCTCTCGCTGACGACGTACGAGAACGGCCAGGAGTTCCTCAAGCACCGGAGCTTGCCCCTTGCGATACATGCGTTGGTGTGGGGTACAGTGGGGAGGATAGCCGTTGCGTGGGCGCTGACGATTACGACGGGCGGTCAAGGAGTGTTTGGGAGCTACGAGCTGTTGAAGGAGCAGTTGATCGGACCAGCATCATATCTCGCCTTCCTCATCGCATTGGACGGCGTATATGTAGGTCTACGGGCGCTCGGTGCTCCGCGTCTCGCTCAACTCCTCGGTCGACATGGTCACTTTTCCTCTCTCCTCCTTCCGACGTCTACAATTATCGCCCTCCTAGTGTGCACCTATATCAACGCCTCTCAATCGCAAAGGACCATCGCGCCGCTCCCGTCCTTCCTCTCCACGCTGATATCGTCGTTCGACTACCCCCTCCCAGATGCACCCTTATCGTGCGTCATCGCCTACACTATCGGCGCTAATTGGGTCGACATCAGAGACTCGTTACCTCCTTTTCTAACCTCCCCGCTACTCTTCCCCCTCTCCCTATCAGCGTCCTACGCGTACCTATCTCTCGATACAGCTCTCTCAGCCTCCAATTCCTACATCATCCTCTCTAACCGAACCTTCTACGCCGACTTGCACACGTTTGCCTTTGTGCTCTGGGACGCCCTAGCGTCCCTCATCATTCCCCTCTCCCTGCTCTCTTTCTTCGCCTCTGCTTCCATCCTCCGGAGGTCATGGAACGTCCCGGGTACGGGCAGTTGGAGGAAATGGTATATTCTGACATACGTCCATATGATCCCTGTGCTGGTGTTGAGGTGGTTCATTGCGCGGTTGATGATGGAGACGAGAATCAGAAGCGCGATTGCATCTGCGGTATTCGTAGGCGCTTTGGCGCCTGTGATGGGTTGGGTCGGGGTTCGGGGTGTGGAGGTGGTGATTATGGCGGTCGCCAGCTTGAGGCGGTGAAGGTACAATCTATATCTAGATCCCGGTCGGGCAGTAAGTACGAGGTGGGGTCATGATGGTGCAACAAGTTACTATTATTTTCAATCAACAACTGAGGCAGTCTAAGCGGCCAGGGGAGGCTTCAGGCTTATGCCAGACCCGAAGCCTGGCGCGGAGGAGAGATCCACGGAAGCGCCCGAACTGGCTGGTCGATTTCATCTTATCTCGTTGCAACACACACGAAGCCACCGTGAATGTCTCTTGTTTCTCTAGTCACCTCAACAGCATTGTCGGTCTCAGGCAATAGTCCGACTCTCTTCGAACCATGAGCCCAACTTATTTTCAACATTCTGCCATACGGAATGCACACGGCCAAGGTGAGCCTCCACATATTTTTCATCACGAACATATAGCTTACGTCGTGGCCAATACGGTCAATCCTGCTTCAGTTATTTATATAAACTGCAGTGCTCAACACCGCCGAGCAAAGTTCTGGGACGGGAAGGCAATGGAATAAAATGCCTGAATTCACACTAACACCAAGCTCTCAAGTTCAACTAGCAACTCCTCGAGAATGTCAACCCTCCTTGATCTTTCTCCTGAGCTGGTTGCCCAGATAAGTGCACCTGTAAGTGAACATTTGACATTTGCTCCCTTCAAAACGTGAAAGCTCAATCTGAAATCGATCCATATTCCACGCAGCTCACACGGAAGGACCTGAAATATATTCGCCTCACATGCAAGCGATTGGGGCTCTGCCTGGAAGATATTCTTCTAAGTCACATTTATCTCTCTACAATATGCCATAATCACGAACGAAGCCTTGCGAGACTGCGGGCGCTTGCGAGTGGGGAATGTCCAGCCCCAACTTCGGGGTTTGACCAGCCTGCACCTCTCAATCGACTCGCAGCACATCGAATGGCTGAAGGAGGACGATCAAGGATGACAATCTAATCCCTGAAAACGATCCAATTGTGAAATTTTCCATCGGGCTATTTGACTCACGCAATCCTCAACAATGTTGACAGAATTACTTCCGTGAGAGCGCTTGCTTGAATTTCCTGCACCTGGAGATGTTGACCATATCATCTGCGAGCCCACAGCCTTCACGAGGCAGATGGTGCGGTACCGGTGCTATAAAAACTTTTATGACGTTACCAAACAAGTTGCGATTCGTGTTCGATGTTTTTCCCCGCCGTCCTCTTCATAAAACTCCCAACAATCGTTGCGGGCGGGCGCTTCAAACCCTGTCTGGGATCTCGTGAAGATGGGGGGAGGTCTGAATGGTACTATCGAGATCTGCCGCCGGGGGGAAATATCTTTTGATTGAGATATAATTCGGAGAAGTATGAAACTATCATATTTCATGTATAATTTCTGTCAACCTGGACATATTCGCTCTGCTGAGCCTTAAAGCTGATTGAAATTACGTTTAACTTAGTTCATACTCTGAGGAGCAGACCAGTCAGTGCTAATCTTCGTAGAATGGGTAATCCCACACAGACTAGAGCAGGACACTCAGCGCTAATTGCTCCTTCATATACAAAAAACTCTTCGTCGTCGTCATCTGTCCACTGGTTTAGTTAGAAAGCTACGTTAGAGGTAAGTAAGTAGGGCATTAAATCGTCGTAAGTCGATGCCGAGAGCCATCGTGTATCAGCGTCAGGTAGGCCACAGCATCTTCATCCTCGCCCCCTCCCCTCATCACTCGCCGAACGACCCCACTTCCTCGCCTCGTGCCACGCCTCATCTCGTCTAATGCACCTTATCCGGTCTCGCGTCATGCCACTGCCCCTTTCCATCCTTCTTCCTCACCGTAAAGCACGCAATCCCCAAAAAGTTCGTAATATCCCTGATCACAAGAACCACGAACCGCGCATACACAACCGCCGACACTACAAGCGTCAGCCAAACGAACAGCGTCGTCCTCCTGGGCGTGGTCTGTATGAGTGGGCTTATCCCAAACACCCTCGGCAGGTTCGCGTCAATGGCGCCGAGGGCGCTCCATGCCCAGACCCAGTCGAATATGGGGAACTTGTCCTTGGTGACGTGCGCGAGGATCATCCGCCCGACTTGGTGTGCGAATTGTAGGCCCCAGGCGCAGAGGAAGGGCACGAATGCTGCGGAGCCGAGGATCCAGGAGTCGTTGTACCGTGGGTGGGAGAGCCAGGCGATTTGGATTAGCGCGCTGGCGACGAATGGGAGGAGTAGGAGGAGTGGCGGTGTTCTGGAAGCGGGTTGGTGCCCGCCAGAGCCTTTGCGTTGAGCGGCGTACACGTTGAGATAAGAGTGGAGGATGTTGAAGCCTAGCCCGAAGGCGCCGAAGACCATGAAGGATTCGTTAAGAGGTAGGTCCGGGAGTTTGGACATGAGAGGGAGGTGCTTGAGGTGCGTGAAGGACCAGATGCCTTGCTCCCAAAATTGTGGGCCTGCGAGCGCGTTGTAGGCGATATGTGTCGGGAAAAGATATGACGGCGACGCACCATAGTAGCCGCTAATCATGTAAATCGTGACTATCATAATTATACCCTCGACAGGGCCAGAAAAGTATCCGAGGAATAGTTGACCTGAGCAGAAGGATTAAGACCATTAAACACTACAGAGGGAGAGGACGAACCGGTATGGTACTCCTCCCACGTCGTCAAATAAAAATTGGCCAGAGTCGCGATTTGCGAGGAAACCGTCCACCAGGATCGCCCAAGCCCTAGAGCACGAGACGCGAGGATGACTTCGAGCTACATAAATGCGCAATTAGCAAGCTTGTAAACGCATAGATGTGGTTCGCTCCGACACCCGACGATCCAGCTCCAACGTATCATCGCGTTCCACGACGAGGTTGCACGTAAATCAAGGTGTTGAACTTGATCTCTGCTTCCGTCAGGTGTGTAGGAGCTCTCCAAGAGGGAGAACTCACCGTTGTGTTTAGCGCATCGCAGCCTAGACGAACAACGTCAGTAAACCTTCATGAGCGGCATAATGCTACTATGCACCATGGTCGAACATCTCCCCAAGCGGCCCCGCCATCCCCGTTCTCCGAGCCTGCTTCCTACCCAGCGCCGATGAGCTTGACCTCCCATCCTTCGTATCCTTCAGAGAACAAACATACCCGTCGATTGCGTCTAATGTCTGGTACAAGAAGAGACCGGCGCCCCACCTACGTATACAATCGAATCTCCGATATCTCCGTGAGTACGCACACGTATGAAAG